ATTATAATAAATTTTTTAAAACTTAAATTTAAAAATTAAATTATTTAAAAAATATTTTATAAACTTAAAATTTCTTCTAATAAAATTAATAAAATATATATTTCATATAATTATTATATTACTAAAATTAATATTTAATATTTTATTAAATATAATACATTTGATTTAAGTTCACAAGCAAATTTGCTTGCTAGACAATCTAAAGGATAAGAGATTTGTAATAAAAAGGAGAAAACTATTAAGAATTTTTTTTTTAACTTTATAAGCTAAATATTATTTTTTTTAATAAAATATGTTTAGATTTAACATTAATTCAAAAAAATTTTCTTAGTAATTTTCTTTCTTTCTATTATAAAGTATCCATATTATATAGTATTATATTTTAATTTATCATATATAGCAATATATTTTTTCATCATATAATTTAGCAATTTAATTATCTTATTCTTAATTTTATAATTTAAAATTATTTTATTATTTAAATTTTCATAAATAATCATTATACCAAAAATTCATTAAAAATATTTTCTTATAATTATAATATAAAATTTATAAAAACATATTATTTTTGTATATAACTATTTTATGATAAAATTATATTATAATAATGAAGATATAAATTTATACTTAGGTTATATTATTATAGCAAAATTATAAAATTATAGTTATATTCTAAATTGTTTAAAACTAAAGATTTAATTATTCTAATAAATTAAATTTAGATAAATTTATTTATAATTATTTTTATTATTAAATTTTTATATTATAAACTTAATACTTATTTTTCTATTATTTATACATAAAAAATTATATTAAATAATATTAACAATAATATTAATATAAATATTTATAATTAATTTAATAAATTAAATAGGTTTTTAAATTTAGATTATATAAGATAAACTAAATATTTATATAGATATCTACTTTTATAAATAATACTTACAAATTTAAATATTAAATTTACTTAATACAATACCTTTTATAATCACATTATCTATAATCACTTTATAAACAGTTATAAAATCTATATTATCACAATATAAAACATTGAAACATTAAGATTATAATTTTAATATATCCAATTATCTATTTATTATATTACTTAAAATGGAGAAAAAGGATATGTAGTAAGCAAAATTTTAAAAAAAAATTTTTATATCCGATTTTTTCGATTGATTTTAATGTAAGTATGTTAACCCCTGAAAAAAAAATTTCTGCGGAAATGGAATTTGAATCACTATCCGCAATAATCATAATGAGATTGTTTCCTATTATATCGACAAAATGTAAACAATAGCGCCAATCAGATAATGCCATGTTTTTAGACGAATCAGTCATAATTACACATATCGAGTATTTTGGACATTTCAAGCTGCGGTTATACGCCTTTTTATTTTTTTGAAAATTAATAATACTCAATGTGTGTAACAAGTTCAATCGGTAATGGGAATTATTCATGTCGATCTATTTTGACATTAAAAAATGTTGATTTCATTGGTTGGTTTGGAGTCTATGTTGAGATAAATTAGAGATTTTTTTTTTTTTTGATACCTTTACGGAATTTATTTTTTTTCGATTTCTTTCCCCCGTATTTAGGAAAAAAATTTTTTTTTTCTTTTTCTACCTTTTACCTTTTATTTTCGTTTTAAATAATCATTTCGTAGTTTTTTTGAGAAAAACTAATAATTTTCGAACAAGAATTTTTTTTTTTAAAAAAAAAATGTTCTTTTTTCTCTCAAATTTATTAATAGTTTTTTGATAAAACTAGAAAAAAAAAAAAATTACTCTTAATCAAAACGAAGGAGCTAAAATATAATTAATTCGCCGTTTCCTTTTTTTATTACCTTTACCTTATTCTATATTTTTTTTTTTCACTGCATATGGAAGATAAAAAGTCGATTATCACAGCAGCAACATTTGTAGCAAGTAATTCACTTTTGGTTGAAGGGTATACAACAGCTGTAGCCGCAGCTGCTGCATTAAATTATAATTACATTAAGATGAAAGAAATTGAAAATTCCATTTATCGTTTAGAAGATAAGAGATATGCTAAGCTTGAAGAATTAGTTAAAGTTCCAAGTGAAGTTAGAGAACAAGCAGAATGCTTACAGCGTGAAGTTAAACAACTTTATAAGGAAATTAAAACAATTGAATATAATATTGTTTTGAAAAAAGCCGAAACTAAAGTTTTCGTTTGGTTCGAAAGAAATAATGAAATTGTCGAGAAACAATATATTAATGAATTGGAGAAATCCCAAGATGATGCCGTTAGAATGATGTGGAATGATATTAATAAGAAGAAATTGGAAGGTGAAAAGAAATTTAAAACATCCCGAGAGTTGATGAAGTCTGGTGCGAGAAAGATTCGAGAAAGTATCAAAAAAGAAATTGCAGAAATAGATTTGATGATTCAAAGCCAAAACCAGCTTTATTCTTTCTATGAACAACAATCGATGACCTTGTGGTAATTTGCTTCAAGGTGAGAATTATTATTTTTTAATATTCTTTTTTTTAAAAGAAAAAGATTTATACTAAAAATAAATCTCTATCAGAAGTAATAATAATGACGAGGATAACTATCTCCTTTCTTGAAAATCTTGGTTGATCAATATTTTAAAATAAAAAAAAAAATCTTTTTGCTGTTTCGTTTATACATTGTCGTCTTCTTTCTGAAGAAAATTCTTAAATCCCTTTAAGTTTCTCTCCCCCCAAAAAAATTTCGAATTCTACTTTTCATCATGTGAGTTCTCTTTACAACTTTTCAAAAGTTTTAATTAGTTTTTTTTTTTAAAAATAATTAATTTTATTTTATTTTTTTTTTTTCACAAGTATTTTTCTTAATTTTATCATTTTTATTATTTTATTATATTAAATATATTTATAGATAATAGATAGATAAATGAATTCATTTTATTTTATTATAATAGACAATGTATAGATTTAAATTAGATTTATATCACATAGAAGGTTTTTCGTTTATTGTAGATAAGTTTTAGAATTTAAATAAAATTATGTAATCGATTACATAATTTTCGTGTAACTTATTTAAATTAGCAAATCAACTGCATTACTGTTTCGTATGCAGAAACAGACAAACACGTGATGGACTACAAAAAGTTCTTGTTTTTAATAAAATAAATTTAATACAACGAAAGGCTACTTATAATCATTTAATCTTTTCTAGCCTTGATATGAAGGTTTATGTCTACAGGACGATTTACTGTAGCATACTTATATTTTACTTCGGCATTTTTATCAACTAATTCAATATCAAATGTAGAAACCAATTTAATCAAAAAAGTTTTCATTTGAACCATGGCCCAAGCACGACCAGGGCACATACGTACACCATTGCCAAAAGGTAGAAAAGAATATTTAACCATCGATCCTTTATCATTTAAGAATCTATCCGGATTAAATTTTTCGGGGTCTGTAAAGTATTTAGGATTATTACTCAACGCTTTCAAATTCGTATAAACTGTTGTGTCAGCTTCAATGATAAATCCATCAAAGTCAACATCTTCGGTTGCAGCGCGAGATATTAATGATATTGTAGGAAAGCAGCGAATTGCTTCTTGAATTACAGCATCCATGTACTTGAGTTTTTCAAAAGATTCAAATACGATATTAGGATTATCAAGTGTACCATAAACTTTTAATACTTCATCTCGTATTTTCAAATAAATATCACGATATTTAGCGATAAAGTAAATAACGTATGATATAGTATTTGAAGTAGTATCCAATCCACCGGTAAACACTTCACGTAATATTGAGCTTAATTGATCGTTCGCTAACGGTTGATCATTTTTACCAACGCTAATCTTTTCTAAATCTCTTTCCGTATTTGTCGTAAGTAATATGGTTAGAATAGAGGGTTCAAGGGGTTGATCCAAAGGAGTGTTTTCAATTTCTTTTCTTCTTTCGGAAATCATCTTTTCCAATTGGTTATTTATCCAAGTTTTATTATCCAAGTATTTTTGATTTATGCTTTTAAATCCAGGAAAGTTCCTTCGAATGAATGGTGATAGCAACATCATGAAAGCCATTGATTCATTATAAGTAAAGATCGCTTCAGCAAATTTTATACCATTGTTCCACATTCCTTTTATCTCAGATTTTTGTTCATTAATATTTAACTTGTTGAAAAATTCTGCCGTTGAAGACATCCTTTTTCCCGTCGCGGTGGTGACAACAACATCAATTCCTATAACATCCATCCAATCAGGAATTGAAATTGGCATTCCTACTTTTTCCATGATCTTCCAATATTTAAAGACTTCTTCATTAACCTTACTTGTCAATTTAATTGCTTCACGTAAGAATGATGGTGATGAAGTACTTTGAACCAAGAACTTTCTATTAAATGACCAAGATTCAATATCTCGATTTAATACCATTCCCCTGGTACCTAATCCAAGTTCATCAACACCTTCAGAATATGCGTTACGCATGATGAATTTTGTATTTTTAATCGATAAAGGTCCCCATACTTTTTCTGCTAAATCGGCTCTACTAATCACGACATGACGCGTACTTCCCATATAAAATTCGTACAGATCCCCATATTTTTGACGAAAAGATTCTGCCGCTAATGGAAAATCATTCCCAATTTGATGTAAATTTCCAAGAATTGGTACGGGCAAAGGTCCGGGAAGTTTTGATTTTCGATTAAAATAATTAATGTAAAATTGAATTACATATGATACAATTGTTAAAGAAATGATTGTGAAAAAATTATTCGCAACAACTACAAACAACTTGTCCGCGAACATTTTTATTTTTATTTTTTTTTGTCGAGTTTAGGGTTAGGTAAAAAAGTTCGGTATAAAGTTTCGGAGGTATAAAAAATAAGAATTTGATATTTTAGAAAAGAAAAACCCTCCTCCACTTTAATCCTTTAAATACTTATTTTTGTTTCCTAATACATATTAAATATTTTATCGGAACAAAGACGATTGGTTCATTATACGTAGTTCGTATTAACCTCCATGACGAAAAGAGTTCAAAAATGGTTAATGGGCAAAGAACAAAATTAGAAATTATTACCACAGATACATCTTTAAAATTGAATGATTTCATTTCAGTTTACTTTATTAATTAAATTTTTGTAACGTGGTAAAAAGATCAATCGAAATTATTCCGTTGTAATGAATGCAGTACCGATGCCTTGGTTAATATACCTTTTAATAATTGAGTTTGTCGATAATCACTTTAATGATTTCATAATTTTAGTCACGATTTTTGTTTTGTGTAAGCACGCGGATGTTTTTGTACACACGATTCATTTCATTTTAGATTAAATGATATGCAATTAACGAGATATACGGATATTTTAATATCCTCCTCGGACATGAATTTCTATTTTCATATCGACCCTGAAATAAACCTTCTTCATTTCTTTCTTAAAAAAAAAGAAAAAAAAAAAAAATTTTAATCTGACACCAATAACAACAATGTTCATTCTTCATATTTTCCGAGATCGGTTATATGCGTAAAAACTTATCACAAAATAAATTACAAATTTTTCTTATGTAATGTAATTACAGAAGGGATTACAAAGCAGACGAATACTGTACCACGAACTTTCATATTTATTTATCACATGATCTCACATTTTTCGGTATGTCGGAAATCTTTTTTCAGTTTATTAGATAATTATCCATATCTCATATTAACTAATACCTATCACGATTTTAAAATTCTTAGAATTGCCAGTCAAAAGATCATCATGAAACATGTGCTTCGTTGATGATTTCTTTCAAGAAAATGCACGATCATTTCAACAAGTTCTCTGATTGGACTTTCTGAAGGAGTGTTGTAACGATCATAAGAAATCATTGATCAATTAAAAGATACGTTCATCATGAGATTCATGTATTCAATTTCCAGTTAAGGATTCCTTTTTATTTCAACCTTCTGTTGTATCCATATGATTGTTATCTTCTGTTGATACAGATGTAGTAATATTGGGATTATTTTGATTATTACAAATCGCTGCAGCAGTTTGAAAAATTTGTAGTCCCAAATATTTATGACGCCTTTTCCTAAATTATAATAAAAAAATACTATTTAAATATAGGAATATATTTATAGAATAAAATAAAGATGAAGAATTATGAAGTTAAAACTACAAACTTCTTTTTTTCTAAAATTTCTTTATCTTCATTTCTCAATTTTTCTTGTCGTTCTCTTGATAAATCGGCTCCCGGTAAATCTTCCAAGATTTTTTGACATTGATGAATCTTTCCTTTTAACTTTCTCATCTATCAAAATAAAGAATTGAAGTCATCAAAAATATTTAAGATTCGGACTTCATGACGTAAAATATTTAAGCTGTACTGTACCATAATTTTTATTTCCATTTCATTTCTACCCGTTTCTACTTTATCAAGGATTTGAATCATATGAGGTAAAAATGAAAATTCTTCCCTTGGAAAACGATCTATTTCAAAGGTACTTCCAGTTGCTGTTACTGGCGTTTGTGGCTGCGATTGTGTCAGTATAAAACTACCTCCCGGTGTTGTTAAAAATGTAGAATCAATTGTGTAGTTTTGCATTTTTCTATTGAGAGAGAATGTGTTTCATCACGATATTTGCAAAAAGTAATCGACGGGTTGACAAAATTAGTCACGTGAATTCTCGTGACGTTACACTAGAAATCAGGTTCCACTTGGCCATTGAACGTTAATCATTTTTGTTGATCTTTAAAACCAATTTCATTATTTCATTTTTTGTTACATTTTTAAATTCTTTTCTTATTCAAATATAATTATTAAAAAAAGAACTTTCAATTTTTAAGCATAGGAAAATTTTTAGCATTTGAAAATATAGATTAATAAATGTATTTTTTATAATGTAATTTTCACTTATAAAAATTTTAGTTATAATATTAAATCTGATAAGCTATTTTTAATAATAAAGAGAAATGATTATCACTTAATAAAAATTTTTAAAAACAATAAAAAAGCAAATCTTTATGAATTATATGAAAATTTACTTTAAATAATATAGTTATCCCTAGTCATATGTAACTTCATAATATAATTATATTATGAAGTTACATGTGATTTGGTCTAGATTATGAAGGTAACTTCATAGTCTACTGATAGCTTCATAATATAATGGTAACTTCATAGTCTGTTGGTAACTTATAATATAATAGTAATTTCATAATATAATGGTAGTTTCATAATCTAATTTCATGATCTGGTGATAACTTCATAACCTATTATTCATATTCTAATAATGATTTCATAACCTACAATGGGTAGCTTTTTTGCGTTTATAGCATTCTTTTAACTGTTTACTGTATAATATAATGGCAACTTCATAATTTGATAGTAAATGGTAATGTTTTAATTTAATAGTGATGTCATGATCTAATAGTAACTGCTTTTTTCTTGTCTCTAATTCGTTTACATAATAAAATCTATATTGTTAATTCTAGATTTTCAGTCTTCTTTGAATATCTGATTCTATAATAAGGATGTTAGCATTCTATGTCAATTTAGATACTAGTTCTTTAAGAATTTACACCTATTTAGTTACCTTTCTAGATGCTAAAATAATGTAAAAAAAGGGTGACAGGTGGCACAATAGATCTGCGATTAATTTTGGCTGATTTTTTAAGTATGTGATTTGAGAATTCAGCTCACCACTATAATGGTGACTTAATAGTACCATAGTAGTATCATAGAACTATCATAGAACTATTAGAAAGCTGATGAAAAGCTAGAGAGATTCTATTAGTTCGCCAATTTCAGACCACTTGTATACTAGCTTAGATGCTGAGTTATTATATTTAAAGATCTAGCTGAATTTATATGCTGACCAAAATTGTGAAATAATGCTGGCTGATTTTATATTGCATCTTACTATGCCAGTTATGTAACTTTTGCTGACTCGTGATCAGTGAATTCAGAATGCAAAATATAAAAAACTGTGCATTATCATAGCTGACCTACACCATCTTGTAATCTAATTATTGCCTATTTATTAACAATATATTGGTGAGATATTGTAAAAACTTCTGAAATCTGATTATAGTTTAATCTGGATCAAGGTAATAAGTATACTAATTTTTTGAGTATCCCTATAGATTTTTCATAAGGCCAAATTTTTGATAAATCATTAAGGTCAACTTATAGCATTAGATTATTTTATTTCTTTTTTGATTAGTATCACTAGTATTACTAGTTCTAAATACTAACTTATAGTAGAACTAATAACAGGTTTGCTATCTTTCTTGAGATTATTAGGTTATTTTATTTCTTTCTTGATTAATGTCACTAGTGTTACTAGTAAAAAGTAATAATTTTTAGGAAAAAAATTGAAATTTTTTTATGTTATTCTTATGATCTATATGAAATATAATATATATACTAAAAAATAAAAAAAAGTTAAGAAACTCAGATTTTTTTCAGTGATAGTAGTGTCACCAGTGACACTTATCAAGAAAACTTTCTTTCAGCCTAGAATTCCTAAAGAGCCTATTATTTGTCACTAGTTCTGTCATAAGCTTTTTTTTTCTGTAATACTAGTGATAAGTTACATTATTTTGTTTACTTCTAAATTACCTACCAGTATCTGTGTCTAAGTCAACTTAGTCTACTTTATTTAATGATAATGTTCTCTTAATCTATGTTTTTTGCATGTGTATCATAATAGTCATATTCAGATCTTGTCAGCTCACTGCATTCTTTACAAGGAACTTGCCTAGAATTCTGATGGACTTTACATCCCTTTGAATTATAGCATTTTCAATTACACTCTTTTTCAGTTCTAAGAATATATAGACAATAATAAAAATTTTAAGATGGATCTTTTTTAGATCACATTTCCTTTTTCTGTTTCCATTTGTATATATCTATTAATAATATCAGGAAATTATTTTCATTTTAAACTTTTTTCTTGTGAATAATATATCTCAAGTTTTAGTATAACTATAAATTATTTTAAATTATTTGAAAAAAAATGATCCAATCTGAGCTTTTAGAATTCTTCAACGCTTCTGTCCTATACTATTATGAGATCAATCACTCTAATATACAGTAGCAGTCATAAGTATCCGACCATCTGAGATTGTCTAAAATTATTATATAACTACCTTTAAATTTTCCCAAAATATAATGTAACACAATACATGATCACCTGTAAATTTATAAGTATCAATGATACAAAAAAAAATTTAGATGATCATCAAACTTTCGCTTGAAAAATGGAACTTTCTTTAGAGAAACAATATGAAATTGTCT